TTTGAAGTGAACCGACCTTGAGGTAGATGACCTTAGGGATTAATGCTTATACATTTCAAATTTAAGGAATGTAAAGGAACTTTTTGCTTGATAAAATTTTCAGTTTTCTTCCAATCTTGTATATTTGGTTGGATTTTTTATTCCTTCAAGATGGTATAAGGGTGACTGAATATTTTTTTTTTAAAAGAAATATTCTTCTTGCATCAGCATGAGCCCTAATTTTTTTCCTTTGGTGATCTCTTATGTAATTCTCTTTTCTTCTATTTAATTCAATATTGGTTTTTGTTGGCTATAATTGATTTTGCACTTGTTAATTGCAATCTCAATGTGAGCTTTGGGTTGCTTTAAAATTTTTACTTAGTTTTTTTATTTGGTTGATTATGAAATTATCTTTTGGTGTGGAGTTGTCGTATTTTTGGGTTTACATCAATTGGTGGTCTTTGGAACTACAAATTTCAATTCCTATTTGAGTTTATTATATATTGCATCATAGATTTGCATTATGAACTCTAGGCTGAAGAGATTTTTTTTGCATCCGGGTAGACGATCCTCCAACAAAAAACGAAGCTTCAAATATGCTAGCTTACGATTAAACTAATGCCTCTTAATTGCTGTTAAACTAGCAAAGGATATAAACCACTTAGGCCCATAGTTTAAATTTGTGCAATTCGAGGCATGCCTTTGCACAATTTCCTCCAAAATAGCCTAAAAGCCTAAGCAATTCTCAGGCATCATGAGACGTACGCCTCAGGCGGCCTCACAAGCGTTATTGTGCAATTTGCATTGAGGCGTATGCCTCTAATATGGGGTCCCACTTACTTAAAAAACTTTTTAATTCTTCCTTATAACCTACCCGACCGAAGCACCATTTACCCGACGGAAGATGTGAACCGAAGCCGCGTAGGAAGCACGCAGACGTCCGATCAGGCTCTCTTGCACGTTTTCGCCGCCTCTCGCCGGTGAGTCCTTTGTTTCTGCCGCCCCTCTACATCACTTCTTCAAGTGTTCTTAGGTTTTTTTTTTTAAGTTTAGTGTTTGATTTTTCAACTTATAGGAAAGCTAAGGTTTTAATTTTTTTGAGTTTTTGTGTTTTATTTTGCATTTGTGCTTTAGGAAACATGGTTAGGGGCAAGGAAAAGATAAATACGTCATTGCGGCGTGACCCTTCTTAGAAATACAGTGTGCAAGTTGATGTAGGAGGCAGCGAGAATACATGTGTATTTAAAATGTAATTTTTGTGATAAGGTAGTGAAGGGAGGAGTAACTCGCATGAAGGAACATTTATCCAGCTCACATAAGAATGTAGCACCTTATGCAAATGTTCTGGATAAGGTGGAGGAAATTACAGCTTATATGAAAAAGAGTACCATTGCCAAACATTTACAATATAAGCAATTTGATGAAAGAGTCGAAGATGATGCTTATTTCGGGAGCCAGAGTGGAAAGAGCTCTTCCTCCACTATACATTATAGAGGTGCACGGGGTCCTATGGACCAGTATATGACTAATCCAGGAGAGGATAGAGGACAAGCACAGATGATGCCTACGGCTGATAGCAGAGAGGGTCGACGACAGGTTTACATGAATATTGACAGATTTTTTTTTTTTTGAGAATGTCATACCATTTATTGTTGAGACATCGCCGACCTACTTCAATATGCTGCTGTCTGTAGGATTGTATGGGAGAGGGTTGAAGGCACCTTCTATGTACGAGTTGTAAACATGGATTTTGAAGGAGCTGCAGAACACAGAACAGAGCATTGATGAGATTAAACAAACATCGATTGAGACAGGTGTTACCATTATGTCAGATGGATGGTCTGATATGAAGAGAAGGAGCTTGATTAATATCTTTGTCAACAATCCCTACCGCATGATGTTTTTACGATTAGTTGAAGCTTCAGGTTGAGTTTTGGGCCTCACTTGTTCTTCTTATGGATGTGAGCGAAGCTGGAGTACATATATTCAAGTGCAAACAAAGCGAATAAATCGACTTTCAACACTCAGAATGAACTTCCTTGTGTATATTATGCTCAACAAGAGGTTGAGAGATAGGAGGTTGAGGAACAAGGGGTTGAAGGATGATGAGGACTCGTTGGTGTATGATGATGTGGCATCTGATAATGAGTGGTTCATAGATGATGAGACAGATTTGCTATTATCAGACCTTCAGTTAGAGGATATAAGTGTGGACTTGAGGGGCGAAACAGATCAAATGGGCACATCCACTAGTACCACACCACACACATTCACTAGTTCTGCAGCACAACAACCAAATAAAGGTATTCCGCAACTTCTTATATGCTATTACGTTATATTTATATCAAGTGTGCAATTAACATGATAATAATCATTCTTATTGAACAAGGAAGAGAAAAGTGAGTCACATTGAAGATGATGAAGATATGACATTTATAGATACAATTGAAGAAGAAGATTCCCTTGAAGACCCATTCAGTGATGGGACATAATTGGATTTTATATGTTCTTTCTTATTTGTACTTTGAGAGTTTTGATAGATTAATATTTTGTGATTATGTAATTTGGGACATGATTTTATTGCATCTATTTTTTTACTTTCCACTAATTTTACTTATCATTTAAATGTTTTTATTATATGATAGAATCTTACTATTATTTATTTGCTAAAACTCTTAAATTCTCATTTACACAATTTTTCGTCCGTAAGGCTTACGCCTCACACTGCCTCAAGGCAAGCCTTACCTCACGGACGAAAAACGCCTCGAGACTTATTTACACAATTTTAAACCTTGCTTAGGCCCTTGTGATATCCATGACATTTTGTTGTTTGTTGTGATATTTATTCTTTTTAAATTGAAATTACTATGATGCCTATAATATCTTCCATTTTATCACATAATATTTTTGAGGCACTTCTTTATTTTAACCATACAATCATAACTCTAGAAGTTATATCATCATTTATACGCTTCATTCTTTTGACCATTCTTTCGTTTATAGGGGTGATTTCAAGTTGAGTCCAAGCACATCTAGGGCGCAACTCAAAATTGAATCATTTGACTAGTGTCCAGTTAAAATAGAGGCAAAAATGATCAATTTTGAGACGTGAGAATTCAATATACTATAAAACAAGTTACATAGGTGTATAAATAAAAGGTGTTATGTGTGGAATCTGATTGTGTTGATCAATCTGGTTGTTCAATTGCCTCAAACCTCAAGTTTCGTCTTGCTCATTAGGGGGTGCGGTGGGTTTACCCCCTGCTTAGGTTCGGGTGCAGCCGTTGCGTTGCATACCCAAGCGCCCCGATACTGTGTTCCAGAGCGCCCCAACATTTAAAGATAGAGAGCAAAGAATTGTAGTGGTCGAGATATGGCGCCGCAGCGGGTCAAGACAAAGATTGAGAGCCGCAACGCTGAGTGTTTGAGCGCTGCAGCATTGTCAAATAGAGATTGGGCGTCACAATGCCCCAAACTAGCGCCGCAGCGCTGTGAGGCGGACTAGACGGTTTTCTTCTCGTTTTTTGAAAGGTTGCGTCTCTTGGAGTTATTTTACTTGCCTTTTTCTTGTATTTTTAGTTAGGATAGGTGTAAGAACAGTGTATGTGAGAAGAGAAGCAAGAAGAGAGTGAGATAAAAGAGAGAGATGCACTCATTTCTCTCAATTTTTATAGTGAATTTTTTATTGTGGTGTGGCTCCTTAGTTTTTTTCCCCCTATTTTGAGTTTTTCTACGTTAAATCTTGGTGTCCTTTACATTTTCATTACTTTTACTTTCTTGCTTTTTTCATCATTGTGGTGGAGTACTCATCTATTCCCCAACAAAAGGGGCATAAACAAATCTTCTTCCCTAAATTCAATTAGGATTTACGGTCACGTACTCATCCATCGGATCATATGAACTGATGATTTCTTTGTGTAAGATTCTTTCAATTGTTCTTCATTCTTTCTATTGTAAAATACGAAATAGTTGAGATATTTATATTTCTGGAATACCTTTCGGAGAGTGGATTTCATTGTCCTTAGAGGGTGTTAGCATTCACCTGTCATTTGGTGCTTGACAGTCTTCCCATCAGTGTGAATTTATGAACTTACAAAAGTCTACCCATAACCCATATAGATGCGCTGCTCTGTCAGTTCTGATGGTGCTAACACTTTTGATATCTAAATGAGGTTGCAGATTTGAATCAGTCGCTAGGTGGAGCACTATTTGCCTTACTGGGGACCTATTAATTCCTGTACCTGCTGTCTTATATATTGGTATCATATTAGGTCATTGGAAATCCAAGCTGCTTATTTAACCGTTGTGGTAAGTTTCCTCGGCCCACCAAGAGATGTGAATGAGTCAACCTGAGCTTGACTCTCACTTGACTTATACTAGACACGACTAGTTTTCCATGTTGAACTTAGTTCGAGGTCATTAGTAAAGCTGGAGCTCAAACTCATTTGCGAACTTAATAAGTAGCTCGTCAAGCTCCAAAGGGGAGCATAATTTATAAAAGCTATTTTTTTTTTCTACAGGAGCTTTATAAAACAGTAAGAAAATCATCCTTGCTGCTTCATGTTATCAACAGCTAAAAGCGACTTAGGTTTCATTTGGGACGACTTTCTTATTGCTTCTTAAAGCAGCTTTTTAGTAGAAAAAATTAAAAATTTTGTACGAAAAAGATGCTTTAAGAAGCATTAAGAAAGTCGTTTCAAACAAGAGAAATTATTCAGTTCGCACACCTGACAGAGAGAATCATCCGGATCTCTCTGTCTACAGTAAAAAGCAGTCAAAGCGCAGTTAGTGTAGCAGCTGTTCTTTGATTGCGCTTTTGACTGTGGACAGAGCTAGAGAAATTCGGATGATTCTCTCTGTCCGGTATTCGTACCTAATAATTTGCCGCCAAACAAAGCCTTAAACACTACTGTTAATGTAATGAAATGGAATTTTCGCCTGATGTTAACAACTTCATTAGTTTTCCACCGTCTTATTTATTTACATAACCCATTATTTATTTATTTTTTTCTCTGTGGCAGACTGAGGTCGAAGTTGAGGGAAGCATCCTGAGGCAGGGGAGAAGTGTTGTTGTTACTAACATTGACTTTAGAATAAAGGAATCTAAGAAGCTGGCTTACACCGCACGTGCAACTTACTACATAATGCCTGCTGCCAGTCTCTGAATAGTCTAATTCTTTCTCAATTTTCCAAATATTTTCACAAGTTGAATATATTTATTTAAAATAAAAATATATCAGGATGAGCTTCACAATACTTCGATCTATTTTCGAATCAGTGCATTGTAATTTTTTCATATATTGCATTCATCTCAAAGAATATATTAATCGGATTTGTAGAAATTATTGTGTACGCAATCCAAACGCAGAATAAGGTTTGGATTATGTGTATTTACTGTTTATTTTACTGCGTATTTTTTGATACATAATTTTTTCTTGGCAAATAGCAACAAATAAATAATACTCATAAATATTCGCTAAATACATAATAAATACTCAAAAAAATACGTAAAAAATTATGTATAAAAAAATATGCAGTAAAATAAACAGTAAATACGCAGCATAAGTTGTATTGCGTAGACAATAATTTCTCTCGGATTTGAGGTTCATATAAGAAGATAAGGATAAAGAGACGTCATTACTCGTTAGGATGACATATAAAAGCATTTTCATTTTTTTTATTTGCAAAAATATCCTCTGGCCAACGCCTTGTGTACTATGTTCTTTAATAACTAATTAATGTGAATTCATGTAGTAAAAAAACTAGGGTTTAGGGTGATAGAATAAAAAATATGTAAGATATTTAAATTATTTCAGATTTATTTTAGTATTTTTTAAACAAATATTTTTTTTAATATTTATGTTATCTTTTTTTTTTAATGTTTTAAAAGGTGAAAAGATAATTCCGATTAGTAGGTGTGAAAAAAAAGACCCAATTCATTTGGCTTTGGGTTGATCTATTTAAGAAAGGGGTCGGGTTTAGAAGTTATCTTTTTGATGGAAGATTATATTTTTTACTCCCTTATATATTTTACAAACCTATCCATCATACCAAGGAGATAACAAAGAAGAAAAAAAGATAATTAAATAAATTATTTTAGCCTTTTTGAAATAAATAATTAGGTATTGATCAGATATTAGGCCGACAGATCTATAATATAATGAATAACGATGGGATCTGGATATGAGCGATGATCAAGCAATACAATTGGAAATGGTCAAATTTGAGGTATGAAAGTCAAGAAGAAAAATAAGAAAAGTTGATACGGAGATGAGACGCAAAACAATGATAAGGCTTATCAAAAGCACTATTATACCCACCACGGGTTGTCTTGGTGGTGAAGAGCTGGCTGGCCATAGGCCAGGTCCCGAGTTCGAATCCCATGGCAATTCAGGCAAAGCCTTAAGTGTTGGCCCGGATGAGTATGGGGTGGGTTGTCCGTTAGGTCGACCGGGGAGATTAGTGGCCGAAGGCTGATACTCCCTGTCCCAAAAAAATAAAAAAAAAATAAAGCACTATTATTATGAATCTATTATCAAAATGAAGAAGATAAAAATGAGAAAAATATGATAACCGGGTAACTTAGAGCTTTCCCAACTCACACAAACATATTAGGGAACAATAAGGGCAAATTAATGGTGCCAATAACTCCATAAATTCACCTGAGGAAAAAAAGTAAAATAAGTCATAGCTTAATTCCTTTATTTGCATATCCTAATACTCCATGCAAGAAAATATTTATGAAAACATAAAAAGATTTAAAAAAAAAACTCTTAAACTACCTATTAACCCTTAATTCTCATTACTTCGATTTAAACTACAATAACTTGCAAAAACCTATTTATCCATTTCTAATCTACTCATTACATTTAATCAACCATAACATATATCCTAGGGTTTTCTCTTCTGCTGTTATTGGGTTTTCTATCTCGGCAGTGTTGGCCACCACTACCGCTTAGCTGCTTATTTCAGGGAAGCATTATTTTTTTTTCTCCATTTCATTTTCTCTATTTTGATAGTTTTTCATTTTTTTTCTCCCGATTTGTCCACCTCTAGTCCTCGGTGGTCATAATGGCAGTGATCTTCTGAATGATCCTAATTTTTTGGATGGGTTGAAGAAATATCACTAGTTTCGAGATGTTCTCTCTGGTTTTCCCTCTGATGCAATTTTCCTGAGCTAAAAATGACTTCTTTTCATTGTTTACCCGCTTTGTGGATTTCAGAGGAGGTCCTTGCGCTTGTGGCTCCTCTTAAATTTGTGTTGGTTGGCAAAATTTTCCTTCTTGTCATCAAAATCTTGACTCTATTCGTAGATTTTTTTTTTTCAATCTCAAGCTCATTGAAAAGTTTTCTATTACCTTGCTTAATTCATCGCATATCTTGGTTAAGATGGTTAACGATCTGGACTATATTAGAGTTTTTTGTCAGAGATCTTACTTTGTTAACAAATGCTATATGAAATTGATCAAATTGTCTCCTTTATTTGACATTGGTGTTGAGTCACGTGTTATTCATATTTAGATTTCATTCCCTAACTTGAGGCCACATTTCTTCTCTCCTCGAATCCTTCTCTCCCTCAGTTCGATGTTCGGTCGTTAGTTATAAGTCAACAATGCCACCTCTGTTGGATCTGGCCACTCTGTTGCTCGTGTTTTGGTTGATCTTGATATTACTAAAATAATTCTCTGATAAAGTGTGGTTTGGTTCTAAAAAGTTTGGGTACATTCAACATGCGAGATGGAGATTTTTCCGCCTTTTTGTATTCACTGTAAATGTATTGGGCATTTGTGGGGTGATTGTCGTCCCTTGTCTTCTATCCCGGTGAATGTTACTAGTAATACTCATAATATTGTTATACCTAACGAGAATGCTACTGATGTTAAGGAAACTTTAGATAATTTGAAACTGGTATGCTAATTTTGTTGGGAATGCAGATGCTATTTTGAAAACTGTGGATAATTTAGATGTACCTCTTATGCCGGCATTGGTAGTTATTGGGGATAATTGCATCGAAACTACGTACTAATGCTGTGGATATTGGTACTTGTGTTATTGAAATAGAGGATGATGTTGTTGTTCATGCTATGGAGTAAGCTGTTCCTTCGAATAATATTCTGCCTTGGCTATTGCTTACGATAATAGAGATGGTGTTAATGATAGTTTGGATGTCAATAATTATAGGGTTATCCTTATATCTACTCCCAACATGTCTTCTAATGTTACTGATGGTGATGATGTTGATTCTGCTATTGATGATTTTAATGATAACTCTGTTCCTCGCAACTTGGAACCTGGGGAGTGCTCTTTGGGGGATTTGGCCATGCCTATTGATGGCCCCTCTAATGGGATTGATGATGTTTCTCTTGTGCCTTCTTCGAATACGACTTTGTTGCCTAATTTTTTCAAACGGAATGTATTTGATGTTCCGGTTTCTATTCTTTCTAAGGATACTTCGAATGCTCACTTGTTGTTGAATATGAAGGATTCTTATTTGGATCAATCTGATTTGTTTGATGGGTCTACTTCCTCACCTTGCGGGGGTGTTGGAGAAGTTTTGGGTGACCCCGTAGATGAGTTTCATATCATGTATAGTTTGAATGTTGGGTGTATCGTTAAAAAATCATTTTCTCATGGTGGTGGCAAGAGGTGTGGGAGGAAATCTTAGAAGAAGTAATTGGTTTTTTTTATTGTTTGTCTATTGCTATTCGTCTTATTATGTCAGTTCTGCCCTTGGTGTTTGGTGGCTGGGTTGTTTTTGGTATTTGTTTTTTTTTTGTATTTACTACTGGTCCTTCTCTGTCTATTCTTGGCGTTGCTTCGTTTGGTGCTCATTGTTATTCTTGATTTTTGTTAGCTCTTCCCTCCTGTCTTTGTGTGTGTGCGTGGTCTTCTGGTTGTTTATTGTTGATGTTCTTTTTGTTGGTCGACTATTGGGTTGTTAGTTGGTTTGTTGGCAGTTGGGTTATTGGTTTGTTAGTTATTGGGTGGTTTGTGTCCTTTTACTTTTGCATATTCCTTTAGTTATTTACTTGCAGGTTCTTGGTTGTTGGCTTATCTAGCTGCTTATGAGGAACTGAGAATCTTTCTACTGCCTTTTGGAGTTGTCTGTCATTTTGTTTGCTTAGTTTAGCTATTTTATTTCATGTTGCTTATCTCTGTAATAGGTAGAATCATTGGATCGCAGGTTTTATTTCAAAAATTGTATTTTTAGAAAAATGAATGATCTTTAAGGACTTGTAATTTATTTATTTTATTAATGTGTAGGCCCCTAGTGGGTTTTATATATTAAAAAAAAATCAACAAAGCCTAACATTAAAGAGAAGATGTAACAATTTTGAATAATCTTTAAGTCCCATTATGAAGATTAGTTAGAAGGGACCAACAAGAAAGGTTCTGATAAATCTAATCTCCCTTTTAAAACCCACTAGGTGGGCGTTTGGCCATGTCTATCTCATTGATTCAGCCTTCATTTTCCGTTGATTTTTTTTACTGATTCTTAAAACAGTTTTTTACTATAAAAATTTTAATTTTTACTATAAATTTATTTTAAAAACAGTAAGAAAATCATCCCAAACGAAACTTCATATGATTGGATGACTTAAATTTTCATAATTTATTTTATTTCATAATCAAAATAATAATACATAAAGATATTATATATATATATATAGGGCTATTTTGGGTATTCTCTTAAAAGTGAAAAAAGAAAATATCTGACGGTCCACATGGCAAAAGATATTTTTAGTCTATGAATATATGTTATCGGGTCATATTATTTATTTTTATTTCATGCATTATATATTATTTTTAATATTATTGAATTATTAAAAAGTAAATTAGAATAATAGACAAATAAAACTAAACTATTTCTTAATCATCTTATAATCATACTAAAAAGCATATTGTGGATATCTAATTGTTAAGTTGTAATATGGGATTAATTATAAGAAGGTATAATATATGATGCATAAAGTAAAATAAAAAAAATACCATAAAAATATTTTTACTTTTGTACAAGATATTTGGATTCAAATTTTTTTTTTTTCATTTTGTTTCCGTAATTTTATTTTAATTGGAGCATTATTTTTTTTTTTATTTAAAATTGGTAAGCAAAGTTTCATTTGGGAGAGTTTTTTTATTTCTTTTAAAGCTAATTTAAAAAAAATTGTAATAAAAATTTTAGACTAAAAAGTAACTTTAAAAGTATTAAAAAAAAATTGTCTCAAATGAAGTCATAATATGAGCATCCCAACATGGTCTACTTTATAATGAAAAGCTTTCAAATGACTTTGATAAAATTAAGCTATAATTCATAATTTTTCTCTCATAATATCCGAATTTCGAATGAGAAATTAGGGTTGCATTTTAGTTCAATTTTATAA